TAGGTAGGTAGGTAGGCAGGTACGTAAGTAGGTAGGGGTGGGGTTCGATAAGGGTTTTGGTTTCTAGGGCATTAGTGTCAGTCCCAAACTTGAAATTTAGGCTAGAGGGTCCGGATCAGGTCTGCATTATCGGCGATGAGACCGGGGTCTTTGCTCACCACGTGGGATCCAACGAGAGCATGTGGTTGCACATCGGCCATGACAGGGTGCCGAGTGACTATCAGGTCCGCAAGCACTCCGGCAACGGCCAAGAGTACATCCGCGACACGGTGGACGGCACCGTCACCTGGGCTTCTCTGCAAAGCTAGTCTGAATTTCCTTAGAAGCTTCGGGGAATCTCTGTGTGGAGGGTTGGGTTTGGGTTCTTTTGTAATGATCCGAGTAATACTCATAACGCAATCTCCCCAGGTCAGCGTTCTCTTTGCGAAGCCGGAGCCACCATCCCCGACTGAGGACAAATTCCTAGGGGGGTATTATTTGCCGACTGACCCTAAACCCTAAACCCCAAACCTTAAACCCCTGTGACTACTCGCACGTGCTGCCCCATGACAATGTGCAAGGCCCTTTCATGCTTGCATGTAATCAGTTGGGCCTGGTTCATCTTAATATCCACGTTCCGTGCCGTGGGGTTTTAATTTAGTCGTGTCTGATGCAGGACCCCATCATTCAGTCGCCCAAGCGTGCCCGGGTCGTGACACCGATGCATGCAGACGGGCCCTTGCTGCCCCGGAAGCATGATGCCATTCGTGTTCCCTCTCCTGTGGCCATTCCACATGAGCAGTGGTCTGCTGAGCCAGTAGTAGCTGCGCCTGCATAGAGTAAGGGTGTACTGTGACGTGCTTGCGACAGTGTTGTAGCCTGAGTAAACATCTTGCCCGTTGCTAACCACCATCTACCCAGGCAAGCGAGGAACTTCCTCTTATTCCAGCCGCAATGCCGCCGGCACCGGAGGCAGCAGGTGTGTTAGTATCCGTATCCGAACAGAAGTCGAAGTGACTCCGAAGAGACCGCCTTGTCGTTTGAAACGGATCACAAGCTCTAGTGCCTTGTGATTGGAGACTGTCAAATCCCCTTCACCTGTTCAGGCCAGCGAGGTCGATTCGCCGACTCTCACGGAGTCCGTGCTCAAGGAGGCTGAGATAACCCGAAAAGATTACATTGAACTGCCAAAACCGACTTCTGCCAGCAGGTGTAGTAGATGCCGCAATATTAAGTTCTCGGAAAAGAAAAGCCCTGACTTTGCCTCCATGCCCCAGCAGTCATGATTGTCAGGACAATGCTGCCGGGTCGCATCGTGGAGCTGCATCATCGCAGTTCCTTGGAACGGGGGTTTTGTGCGGGGTTGGGTTTTGTTGTGAGCCACAGTATCCGAGAAGATTTGTTTTCACACATTTTCTGCTCTCTGAACGAGAACATGCTTGAGCTAGCCGACAAGACGAGTTGTTAAGTTAAGTTAAGCTTCCTCACACGCATGCACATGCTCAGGCTGGTTCCGAAGCCACCGCCCCTGCAGGCCAGGTACCCGAAGCCGTGAATTTCCTGACACCAGCCCTGAACCTGGGTTTTTCCCTTGAGGACTTGCACCTCAGCTCTAAATCATGCCTGAAACTTTGAAACCTAAGTCCCCAACCCTCTCAGACCATTCCTGTGATAGAAGTCAGAATAAAATAATGCAGTCTAGGGTATTACTTAATTTAATTTGCTGGGGGCGGTTTGCTCACTGACGTTCGGCGACGGTGGGGGGGGGGGGGGGGGGGTAAGGGCTACCTGCTTGCGTTTCGGATCGGTGAGATGTATTCCATTGTGTGGGATTACCATCATGATTGATCCGCAGTGCTATGGATTCTCGAGTAGCGGCTTGGGCCGGTTGCACAGTAATAATATCCGTGCGCGCAATAGGATCCGGCTGGCTCATGGCACCTTCATCAGCAGCATGTCCGGACGACAAGGTGGCGAGGGGAGAGAAGCGCCTGCAAGTGTTGCAGAAGTTCCAAAAGTCTGAGATAGGCATCGCGATGAAGAGGATGCGTTCCAGAGCAGCTTCCGAGGATGTTGCGATCCCGTGGGGTCCTCATCCAGTTACTCCCTCGGCTAGCCCAACCCATAGCAAGAGGATCTGGGAACTGGAGTTTTTTCAGTACAAGCATACGTCTCGGCGATGGGCGATCTGGTGGCTAGCAGGCCTGCACCTTCCCTGGTCGTCCGCAAATGCGAAAGTCAGCAGCACGTGTGCAGATTCTGATTAAATCCTGTTCGCTGCACAAGTCGGTGCATAGGTCTTGGCTTACATATCCGTCTAACTTTGGTTGCAAAGCAACGAGTAGATCTCAATTGGGGGGCCCGAGTTCCACCGTGTCTTTGCTACGCTAGCCGGAGAAAGAAATGTTCGTGCTGCCGTCAAGTGGTGCAAANNAAGAAAGTCTGCAGGTGCTCCATGTGTTGTGACTTATGACACCGAATTACATACCAGGCTGGGAAGTATCCACGCGTGGCGCCGCCTGCGCCGCCGAAGCGGCCGTGAACTGGACGTTCCGATCATTTGTCAGTCATCAAGATAGGGACCGCACGGAATCACCGAAGTTATGGACTACTTATCTGCACTAGGCTCGGCCACCACCGCCTCCATCAAGAGCAACAGTAAGAAGATAATCATGAATATTAGCAGTGACAATAAAAGTAGCAGCAACCATAACAACAGCAACAACAGCAACAGCAACACCACCAACCACCACAACAACAACAACAACGGCAACGACAACGACAACCACAGCAACAACAGCAACAACAACAACAACAACAAACAAACAAACAAACAAACAAACAAACAAAAACAAACAAACAAACAAAAACAAACAAACAAACAAACAAACAAACAACAACAACAAACAAACAAACAAACAAACAAACAAACAAAAACAACAAACAAAAACAACAAACAAAAACAACAACAACAACAACAACAACAACAACAACAACAACAAACAAACACAAACAAACAAACAAACAAACAAACAAACAAACAAACAAACAAACAAACAAACAAACAAACAACAACAAACAAACAAACAAACAAACAAACAAACAAACAAACAAACAAACAAAAACAAACAAACAAACAAACAAACAAACAAACAAAAACAAACAAACAAACAACAACAAACGAACACAATTCTG